ATGTGTTGCCCAATATAACACCTTAGGAAAATAAAACATATACTAGAATGACATCTTATCTAAAATTTAAACATTTATAAATGAAAATTTGTATGGAAAATGGTTTTCATCTCTCATAAATAAATTTTATTAATTAAATTAGAGGTCCCACTCACATTTATAAATGTAGACCCCTGCCTTTGCATTTTTTTTTGGCTAATCTATAGATATTTAATTTTTTAAAAAGTTACAAAATAAATAAATTTAAATAATAATAAAATAATTTTTTTCATCATTTAAATTATTTTCAAGAAATATTTATATTTAAATAGGGGTATTTTGGTCTAACATACATAACTTAATAGTCAACTAATGATTATATCAATGAAAATAAAATCTTAAAAATAGAAGAAAAGCTTGTATTTTATAATTATTCACACTAATAAATGCTCATATATATTTCAAAAAACAAAAGAGATGTATCATTAATTAAGATAAAAATAGACAAAATATTTTACTCATTTTTAATTATAAGTTTCATATTAATAATTTATTTTTTTAGGTTCCACATGTACTTCTTTTACTATAAGGCTCATATTATTTTGTACCTTTTTTAATGTATCATATTAAAAAAATAACAAATCAAAATAAAAAAAGTCAAAAAGTCGGATGGTACGACAGTCCCCCAAAAAAATTTAAGAAAAGTGAACAGTCAGATTGACAAATAAAAAAAAGTGAAAAAAGTCCGACTGTAAATACAATGCATTATAGAGGTATAACACACTTTTTTAAAGCATTTATATGAAGGCTAAGTAAATTTACACATATCATTTTATCGTTGATTTGTTGTCTATACCTTATGCAATTTCATATGATAGCGCCTTGCTTCACTCAGGCATGCTCCTATTTAGTGCCTTGCGCCTAAGGCTTTGTTCCTTTCACCTTTAACAACACTGCTGTGGATAGATTTATTATTATTATTTTTAGGATGTCCAAGTGTGAACATGAGTTGATGTAGGAAGTTACATATTGTATAGAGTTGGGTTTAATAACTAATATATAATGTGGAAAGACTTACAGATTCAAGGTTTGAGATTGAGTTCAGATGTGATGTTATTATGTTGTTCTGGTTCATTTGTTGCTCCCCCCGTTTTTGGGTGGTCTGTCGCCATTCTTAATGATTTTTTAATGCAAAAGATAACTCTTTTGGCGCAATTGGCAATGTTCTAAATTAATCTAACTTGTTTGCCAGCCAGCGTCCTGGGGATCTACAGGGTCCCATTCACATTTTTGGCGACTTGAGAGCAGGGGCCAGAAACTTTCAATGGTTCGAATGTTTGGAATACTATTGGGGCAAGGATCCGTTAGGTGAATTTCTAAGCATAACAGCGGACATAACTCAAAACGAGGCTGCAGATTCTAATGAAGAATGCATGGGAGTGGCTATATGCCTTTTTCTTAAATCCTTATCTCAATTGCAGATTCTAAAGATCCAAAGTTACATAGTTTGGAAGTTCCAAGACCATTGCCATGCCAATAAAACTAAAATGCATGGAATGCTGAAGACGGATGATGATTGGGGAGTCTATGTAGGATTTTACCCTTTTAAACATTGTCAACCACATCTCAATTTCACTCTTTCTGTTCTAACAACCAACACTGCTAGGAATCTCCATGATGTGGCGATAATGGGATGTCGGTGGCGCCTGGCAAGTAAACATGATTTTGATAAATGGTCGGAAGATAGAGCACCATCACCCTCTGGACATGCCTCCCATAATGACTGGTATTATTGTCAAATGCTTCTCACTTTAATTTGTTATCCAAAGTTAACTTCTATTATTTGTTTTTGGGAGAATGACAATTAAGGATCTCATGATAAGATTATTGTCAAATCAGAATTTTTAAAGATTAATGTCTAGTGCTGAAGCATAATAGACAAGAGTTCTGAATTTGGGAACTTTAATTGTGAAGAGATCCTAATTTGGTATTAATTGTCTTATGGGGTCTTTACTTGTCATTTGTGCTTTGTTTTCTTCTCTCTGCCAAGCTTTTCTAATTAACCGTTGACGCCTATACTACTGTCCCTGAAATTTGTGCTTAAGGTGCTTAATAACCCATTTTGCCTTTTCATGTCATTTTTTGGTCGGTACTAAATACTCTGTTCATTAATTAAATTAAAAAAAAAATTAATTATTTGACTCCTTTAATTTTAACTTGATTGTAACTCAGTCTTGTCAGAACCAATTATCTATACAAGTTGTGGAAAGTATGAAAAATTAAATTATTGACTCCTTTAGTTTTTAACTTGGTTTTAACTGGGTCTTGTTAGAACCTATATACAAGTTGTGGAAAGCATTTTTCATTCTTAAATTACAAAGAAAGGGTAAAAAAAACAGAGAGAGAAACAAAACATTCTTCACAAGCTTAAAATTTGACTCATTTTAACCATTACAAAAACATGGTCTTACCGTACTAGTATGGAAATAAAGGTAACGATGACATCTATCCAAAAAAAAAAAAGAGGAGTGAAGATGACACATTCACATTCTTTTTTTTTTTCACTCCTTTTTTTTTTCCGAGTAATAGTACTATTAATATATTTGTTTTATTTGTTATTGCAGGGAGAGGGGAGAGAGTAGTAATAGCGTTACTAAAAGGAAAGGAGAAGGAAGATATCAAGAAATCCAGTAAGTTCTCTGCCCGAGCTTTTTTTCAATTCAACCCTGGACTTTGGCCCCAAAAAAAAAAAAAACAAAAACAAAAACAAAACCCCGGACAATTATACTAGTCTCCATGAAATTAATTAATTGTTATCTAAAAAATGAAATTATTTAGCTAGCTAATCTGAATAACTATTTTGTCTGGTGACTTGAGGATTTTACTATTTTGAATTTTTTTACTAGAAAAATTGCAAAGGCAAGGACTAGATGAAAAAAGAGACCGAACTGTATATAAAATATAGGACTGGAAATATGAGGTCAAAGTTACCCTAATGTATCTATATATAATAGCTTGGGCTCATAGTCTAATTAGAATCAATATATCTATCATCATTAAAAAAAAATCAATATATCTATGCGAACTAAGATTGTTTCAATTAGTAAAGATTTGATTCATAACTTACAAAGTTGTGAGACCAAATCTTATTATTGATATGAAAACCTTATTAATAAATAATTTGTAAATACTTTTGTAAGTATTTTTTGAGCCTAGAGACATGCTTTGACTCTATTGAGTCTCTAAAACTTAACTTATCTAAATTTTTATTTGATAGATATAAAAGAATCAATATATCTATACAAGTAGTAGAAATCATTATTCACTCTTAGCTTATTTAAGGGAAAAAAAAAAGGAAAAGAAAGTATTGTTTACAAGCCTAATTAGTGGCTCATTTTGGCTCGTGTAAATGCACAAGGCCTTGCACTATTATAAAAATAAAGCCAAAGATGATGATATTATTTACAGATGATTTAATTGCCTGTAGTTATTTATATCCATTTAATTTTTTTTGGTGTATTTATATTATTCATATATTTTTAATATGTCAAGAATCATTTTTGAAAGCAAGACCTAACATCTCCTAACAACGTTAGCTTGCTTTCTTTTTTGTTCCCGCTATTCAGGGAGATAAGAGAACGTAACAATGGCATTGCTAATGAGAAAGGAAAAAGAAAATATCCAGAAATTGAGTAAGTTCGATCTCTTTCAAGCTTTTCAATTCAACGCTAGACAACTATTTTCACCATAAAGTTAATTGTTAGCTGGAAAAAGGAAATTAATTATTTCTTCATCACTAATTCGTGACTCGAGAATGTTTACAATTTTTTATGAAAAACTAGAAAACATCCTGTGTTTCATGGGTATCTGATGATCTGATGCGATGCATGGTATATAACAGTACAAGGATTCTCAACTTTATGAAATTTATGGATTCCCAGCTTCAGAGTCCATTTCCTAACAAGTCTATATCTCATCAAGTGTTGTGGTTGGTTGCATGGATTGCATAATGCCATTATACATATATGCATATATAAGATGAATGAGTCAAGTGCTAAAGTTAAGCAAGTTTCTCTTGGATCGGTTCCCATCTGTATCCTTAATCACGATATTAACTATTCTCTCCAGATTATAATATAAATCGTTTTTTAGAAATATTTCTTGATTTAAAATATAAGATATTGGGTAAATTTTATTTTTTTAATATTTATACCCTTACTTTATTTTTTATTCCTTGTCTTTAATGTAATTCATGGAGAAGTTTAAATATTCCACTCAACGGCATAAATGAAAATATGTGAATATTTTTAAAAAATTAAGATGTTAACCAACTTTTTTTTTTTTAAGTGTGAGTTAGTTAATAATGACTTATATTATGGTATAGATAGAGTATATTATTTCTAATTTCTCTAGACATAATGGTGTCATTCGAGATGCCATTATTTTTCGGTCCTTTATAAATCGAATCCAAGTAGAGTGGGTTCTATGATATGATGTATAATTTTATGTTTTTTCCAATAAAAGTTGTCCAATCATTAAAAAAAAAAAAAGAGGATGAATGAACATATATATTTTTAGAAGCTACACTCGTCTTGTTACATATGCAGACACTAGAGGGCTTGATAGCAAATTATAGGCAAACTTGTTTTCTTCAATAATTGTAGAAGCATATTATTTTTCAGTTTGGTTGTGTCAAATAATTAAGGAGGAACAGATAACTTTTCAAGTAGACAACAGGAATCCTTTTAAATAAATATTTCGAAGCGTAGTATCATAATTTTTCAATTAATTTTTCAATCATAATTTTTCAATCAATTAGTTGGATTCACCTTAGCGTGAGTACTTTAATTCAGCATATTGAACTTTGGAAGAAAATTCAATTCAGTGAAAAATTTTCAATTCTCTAACTGCATTATCTATTCTCTTTAATTATATATACACTGAATTTTTTTTTTCTCTGAATTTTATTTCAACTTCATCCAGATTTCTATTCTTTATCCTACCCTGATCTTACAATAAATATAAGTTTCCAATTTACTCATCAATCGCAGGTCAACAAGAAGGAATTATTCACTAAGATCTCAAAAAGCACTCAGAAGAAGATAGCAAGATTGCAATGTAAACATGAGAAGCTGCTTTGAGTCCATCGAGGGTTACAAGTTACAATCGGAAGCCATGAAGATGTTGAGTAGATAAGGGAAAATTACTTTGAGGTCTCTCAACACGTTTAAATACTACAAGATCAATTCACAATGAATCTTGTGGTATTTAATAAAAACTCCCTTTTTAATCCCTCGCTGATGTTAGAGAAGGATCTTGTCTCTCCCTAATTCATTGCTAATGTATCATTTTAGAGAGCGAAGAAAATCTCTTGCTAATTTTCTTTGCTAAATGTAATTTTTAGAGACATCAAAATTATTTCTTGCTAAGTGCTTGGCTAATTTGTCATTTTCATGATGCCCCTTGCTAATATTATACTAGGCAATTAAATTGCAATTCCACGTTAAATTGACCTTTTAGCAGTGAATGAAGGAATTTTGTTTTTTATTTTTTTTTTGTTTTTGCATGCTAGGTTTGGCCACTGAGTCTTTTAAAAATGGGCTTGGCTAGTCTTTTTTATGCCCAGTATTTTTCTCCTGATAGCATTTACTTGAAATTCTTGAAAATTATTTGGTTAAAAATGTTAATATTTTACAATACTATTGTTAAAATTGTTTGGTTTGCTTTAATTTTTGAAAAATAACAAAGTAGTTATTATCTTAACAATTATAGTAATTTAGCTTCAAGGATTTATAAACTTTTTAATTAATAAAATAAATTTGAAAAACTTAATTGTCATTGGTTAAGCGTTTTGTCATTTGGTAAAAGAAAGTTGTTTTTGACTTAACCTTCATAGGCATTCAGCTATAAGAATTAAAAACCTTGTAGATTGATATAATAGATATGATAATTAATTATCACTGGTTAAGTGGTTTGTTGTCATTCGCTGAAATAAAATAGTCTGTGCTTTAACTATTATAATTATTTAGTTTAAACTTTTAGGGACGCATTGTCCATTATCGTCTAAGCTTCGGTCGGCCGTCATCGAAGCTTCGGGAATAGGCAATGGTGGAGTTTTTTTTAGATGAGCAATATAATCATTTCTCAAGAAAACTTCATGCGAAAAGAAATAATTTAAAGATTTCGGAGAAATTAACACATTTTATGATGGTTCATCATTGTTAAGAAAATTGGATATCGATTTTGAAATAGAATTGTATAAGATAATGTCAAAAAAGAAATAAATTTGCATATGTAATTATATATACTATTTATATACTGTTTCCAACATATTTGTGATTAGAAGATAAAAAAATAATATATTTTATTTTAAAATTTGTTATTCCATTTATAATCAAATATAATAAAAATTAATTTAATATATAAATTAGGATTGCATATAGGTATGGTCGGGCATGGTATCACCCCTGCTCAATACTCAACCTGGTGTGCAGTTTATTTTAAATTATAAAATATTATAAATTGTAATGCCCAAGAAAATTAAAAATCTATAACATATATCTTATTTTAGAACTTATTTCTTTTAAATTGTAAAACATTTTGTTAAATAATAAGAACTGTGACCCACTAATTTTTTCAATCTACCGTTTCAGTTTTTAAAACATTAATTTACCCCATGCATATAAAAATATGTTATTCCATTGCATATAAAAAAATAAACAACTATTTGTGTTTTTTTCATACAAATTATTTTAGAATTTGTTAGCCTATTCAAATGTTTGATCTCCACATAAAATTAATTTTTTTATAGGAAAAAAATTAAATTTTAAATGATATGTTTTTGTTTAAAATTTATTACTTGTAAGTATAAATAAAGATTTATTTTATTTTAGGATTCCTTATACATCTGAGTGCACATAAAAAATACACTTCATGTGATATGCCAATTTGGATTCCTCAATCCTCACATGTCATTCACCCATTCGCCAACTTCCTCTTCCTTCTTGTCCTTGCAGGTCGCTTTCACCAACTGTGGCTTCACACGTCACAAGCTTCAAGAATGATTCATCTTGAGAAACTTCGCCATGATGATCCGATCCAAAGCAACACCATCGGGGATTTTGGAAAATCTTTCTAAACCCCACAATTCTCACATTTTTCTTCAACGCTACCTTCCCCATCATCGACATTTCCTGATCTGGCTTCTCTCCACTGACGGAAATCTCCCTACCATCTTCACTGATTGGAAACAGGGGAATACCGGGAAGAAGACAGGGAAGAAACAGGGTGGGGACAATCGCTTACTTCAATGGACGTTGACTGTTTGTTGGTGGTCCGAATGAAATCGCCGGCAACCCAGCGGTTCCCGTCATGTCGTCGTCTCTGAGAATGGTTTTCGTGAATTGAGCTGGCGGCAACAAATTCGAATCGAAGACTTTGATTATATCGAGCACGCAAAGATCTTGTGAGAAACTGATTTTTAGTCGTATGAGAGCTTTTATTTCAGGGACGAATTCATCTTTTTTACAACGTTTTTCCACGCAGAGCCTTTTTCCCCCCATCGTGATTTGAGGGATTTTAGGCTTCCAGAGGAAAGTGCAGAGTAACTTTCCTGGAACAACCAAACAAGCCACGTCCCTTTTCTTCATCCTATTTTCCTTAAACCAAACGGATCCTTAGAGTCTTCAATGTCACACATTAGTGCTGCAGGTCCTTACACTCGTTCGACCTCCCCCGTGAATTATCATGTTTTCTTGAGTTTTAGGGGAACAGATACTCGCACGAACTTTACTGATCATTTGAATTCTGCGTTGGTGCGGTAAGGAATTGTCACTTTTAGAGATGATGAACTTAGAAGAGGAGGAGTTATTTCAGAGGAACTCCTCCAAGCTATAGAGCAATCTATGTTTTCCATTGTTGTCCTCTCTCAAAATTGTGCTTCTTCTTCATGGTGTTTGGAGGAATTGGAGAAGATCATGGCATCCAGACAAGACCTCGGCCAAATAGTTGTCCCAGTTTTTTATGGTGTAGACCCATCTATTATTCGACACCAAGAAAATCTGGTTGCAACAGCTTTTGAGAAGCATGAAGTAAGATTTTCATATTATAAAGTGCGAAGATGGAGGGAAGCTTTGACCAAGGTTGCCAAATGCCTAGTTATCTGGTTGGTATACAAGAAATAAGTAAGATTCAATCTCTAATATTTATATTGTCTTTTATCTCTTTTCGTCCTTTTTTTCCCTTTTGGTTGGGATTCTAAATGAAGGTAAGTATGATTTTAGGCCCTTGATTTTCAAAATGCAAACATACTTTAAAAGTAAAATGAAGGTTTGTATTACATCAACATAATTAAAAGCTTAACAAAGTTGACTATTATAACTTTTGCAAGTAGTGAAGATGTCAAGTACTAATAGTTGTAAATTTGAATAAGTCTGTCGAGACTTCATGATTTAGGGAAAATAATATTGAAATACATTGGACAATACAGGAATGTTGCAAAATGACACTTACTGGACATTTCATCCCGGTTTTTTTAATACTTATTATTAATCTAAAAGTATTTGGAGTTATTCTATGTGATTATAGAAGGTGTCTGGATGATTAACTTAACCCTGTAGCAATCAATCAGGTAAAAATATAACACTAAATGAAAGTGTAATTTCTGTAGTTGCTAAGAAAGAAAAATGTGCTTCTTTTCAAATCCTTTGTATCCTTTCCTTGATTTTTATTGCCATGTATTTTTAACTTACCAAAACATTAATAATTTGATCTTCACAGACATGAAGCAGAAATTGTTGAAGACATCGCTAAATTTGTATGGAACAAATTATGCGAGGTAATCCCATCAAAATTTGAACATTTAGTTGGGGACATTCAATCGATGGTAGAGAGGATAGTCTCCCTTTTGAAAATAGGATTGGATGAAGTATGCTTCATGGGGATATGGGCGTTGGGTGGCATAGGCAAGACAACTCTTGCTCAAGTTGTTTATGAGGCAATACGAAGCAAGTTTGATGCTGCTTGTTTTCTTGCTGATGTAAGGGAAGTTTCAGAAAAGGAAGGCTTAGTTTTCTTACAAAAGCTACTCCTTTATTATGCTTTGGAATGTCTGCCATTAATTGATCAATTATATGAACTTGAAAGCCTTCAACTGTGTTGTAGCAAAATCAGAAAACTGTGGAATGGGACACCGGTATACTTTTCTTCCACAGTCTTGAATAATATATGTGTGTTTATCTATATATATCCTACCTCTTGACTTTCAAAATATTGATATTGCTCCGTTGTTTTGTGTCTTATATATCGGTCAGTTTTTAGGCAAGTTGAGGATCATTGATTTAAGTGGTTCTGAAGATCTAAGTGAAACTCCAGATTTTAGTGGAACTCCAAACCTTGAAAAGATGCTTCTTAATAATTGCCATAGCGGGTTCGGGTTCATGAATCTGTTGGGCAGTTGAAGAAGCTGGTTGAGTTGAGGTTGGCGAAGTGTGGAAATCTTGTAACTCTTCCAAGTTATTTGGAAATGAATAATCTAGAGCAGTTTATTCTTGGAGGATGCTTAAAGCTTGAGATGCTCCCTGAGTTTGGTAAAAATATGACAAGTCTATTTTTCCTTGATGTGGCAGAAACTTCAATCACCGAAGTTCCATCCTCCATTATTCATTTAATAAATCTCAAATATTTAGACTTGAGTTCTTGCAGGAGATTGAAGTCAATTGCAGAGCTTCCTCCAAATTTAATGATTTATGCAGGCAATTGTCTCTCGTTGATACCTGCATTCGCGCTGCAGGATCTCTATGTATCACATGCATCTAAGGTCCTTGATCATCATCTCCTCCATTTCCTATACTATTTCTTTATTCTCACCATATTAGATTGTGAATAAAGGAAGAATTTTGTCCATCAAAAAAGAGGGGGAAAAAAAAACCATTGTCTCTTGAATTTTGTCATATAAAATCGGAACTCAACTTGTACCCCAAAAAGACACTCAAATTGGTCTGCCAAAGATAAGTACTCCTAGATAGATACTCCAAAAACTTTTTTTTTTGGCTTTGTTTTTTTTTTAGTCTTAAATATATTTGCCAATTCAAAATGGTCCTTCTAATGGGGAAATTAAAATTGTGTACATGACTGTCCACCAGTAAAAATTAAGCTTGGAAAAATAGCCTTGTTTTAAGCTTGACGATGTTTGAATTTGGATATAAATTAGTTGATAGTCATGAATGATAGATTTTTTTCACCCAAAAATTGAGGAATCATATTGTCACACACCCTGAACTTTTAAAGTGTGATCAGGTAGAATATAAGAAAACTCATATTTCATAAGCCTAAATCCATATAATATTTGACATATTAATTACTCAAACTCATCATATAATTGTCATTTATATTAAATAACTATTAGTATTAACAAAATATTTAAACTTCTTGTAGAAATTTCTGCAGAGTCTCCCCTATAAGTTGGACTATCCGAAATCTCTACAACCTATCAAAAGAATATCCAAGCAGCATTTGAAATTCTACTCCAATACAGTATATATATACAATCCTAGAATAATTTAATCAAGGATCTTGCCTATAAGATTCGTGGAGCAAATTTAGAACAAAACCAAAATACTTAAATATTTACATTAATTCACAATCTGGACAGAGCAACAAAATATTTTTTGTTTCAATGAGTCCCACGAGACCAAATGAAAAGTAGGTTCACTTCTATTATCTAAATACCCAAAAATTCTTTCAGTAAATAACGTTTCCAAATAATAATAATAATAATAATAAACAAAAATGATAATTATAAATATACAATAGGAAATAAGAGACTAATCTAATTACAGAAGGTAGTAAAAAAAATAACACAATTTAATCTTAATAATTGAGTGAATAAAATAGAAAAGGAAAAGTAGAGAATCGTGAACAATTATTTAGAGATGAACTTTTTATATAAAACAAATCACAAACTACAATGATTAAGAGCAAGAATATGACTTTGAAAAACTTATTTTCTATTAGACCTAAACAAAACGAATAACAGGCGTAGACACACAGTCCATAAGGGTAAGTAACATCTGACATGGTTAGAAGCCATGAAAAAACAGGTATAAGCATAAAGCTCACGAATAACAAGCATGGATTATGTTCACGAAATTACACCCTCTGTTCCACATGTGTTGGCCGATACACAGGGCTAGCACCTCCAATGTACTCTGCTAACTAGGTGTGCCATGGCACGATAAGGGCTAATAATACTATTGTTAGCAACCAGTAGTCTATATTCAGTCCTGTAAAATATTTTTGGCATACATGGAATCTATAAACTCTTGTAATTCAAATTGTTCTTTAATTTGAAAGATATAAACGATCTTTTCACCTGTAATTTATCTGATCCATGCATGTATGATATATATATATATATATATATACATTTTTAAAAATAAAATACTATGAAAATACCTACATGATTAAAGTTGAATCATAATCAAACTAATTACCTATGAATGAACTAAATCTTAATATAATTTTTTTTAAAAAAAATCTATTCAGAATAATTAAAGTAAATAAATAAGGTAAAAGAAAGATCATTGCTTCTATGTATTAAAGAATGTTATTTACTTATTTGGTATGCTGTCAAGTTCCTAAAATTCTCTTCTCTCAACTTTAATTAAGCTTCTCCTCTTCTGGAATTCTTATTAGACATAATAAAACTTTAATATATCTTTCTACAAATTGAATCAATTTTCCATATATCCTCTTTTATGCCTCCCAAGTCCTCCATTTTTATTCTTAGCCAAACTAATTGCATTGTTATTCCTAGTTATACTTCTTAATCATCCTTTTCCATGTATTAACATAAATATTATAACACACACCCATATCATAATTTTCTTGTTCAGCAACAAAATTCAAGCCTTCAATTTAATATTAACTAAAGAAACAACTCTCCCCTTAATCATACAGCTCTAAATCAAAAGGGCAAGAAAAGAGTTAAAAATTTAACATCTAAAGCAAGAGAAATATCAATGTTCAGTACACACACCAGCAACACAAAGAAGAGAATGAAAAGTTCAATTAGCTAACGTAGCATAGTGGAATAGAGAATGAAAGAAGACATCAACAGCATAGAAAATAAGAGAAAGAAATTATTAAGCAAACCTCCAATAATAGCAAATCCACCGCTCAACCTTCACGAACGAAAAGAAGGGAGGAGGAGATCACGGTTCTATCAAGCTTTCAACAGCAGTATATATATATATATATTTTCTGACTACACCTACCCAGACCAACAAAGTGGAGAAGAAAAAAAACGAAAGAGTCAAAGAAACAAAGAATCCGATGGAGATGAATGATGGAGGAAGAAGAATGGAGAGCGAAGGTCAGTGGAAGTTTAAAGAATTCTCTTTCTCTCTCGCACTTGTTTGCTCTACTCTGTCTCTTATTCACTCACCAGATTTTTTATTTTTATTTTTATTATTACTATTACTACTACTATTTTTTTTTTATTTTGGGATTATTACACATATCTTTGAAGGACCCATCAAAAGAAGAGTAATATATGTTGGGGACTAAATTTAGAAAATTTATGTTTACCAAAAAAAGTAAGAGAATTTATGGATAGAAGTTCAAGAGAGTATTATGCTATTATTTCATGGATAAATCATGCTTATCATCAAATTTACTCATTAATTAACAAGATATTTCTTTTGTTACAGCATGCCAGGTCTGTGCAGGGTCCCCCTTCACCTTGTTTATGACCCCCCATGGGAATATCTTTGTTGGAGCGAAGGAATCCCAAGAAGGTTTGGACAGGGTGAATATTGTCGAAGTCGGGGTGAATCAGGAGAAGTAGTAACCATAACAGCGGACATGCCATGTGACCTTGCTGATTATGAGGGAGATTGGTGGGCAATTGTTGTGTGCCTTGTTTTTCAAAGCCTATATAAAGAAGCATGGAGAGGTTTCCGCATAGACTGGATGTTCCAAGGTTATTGCCATCCTTATAAATATTGTAGATCTTGGATCGCTCCTGGTAGTAAGGTTGAGTTTCGAGTTCATGTAGGATATTATCCCTTCCATAAAAAAGACTGTCGACCACATCCAGGTGGTGTAGGCACCCAGCTTGATTTAACCCTTCCTTTTCCATTAACTAACATTGATTGCATGCAAAGATGTTATGAGAGCTTGAAAATAGTAGACTGTCGATGGCGTCTGGTTTATAATAGTGATTTTGATGCATGGAGAGCAAGTTCTAGGGGTAACCCTTTTTTAGGGTTAGATTATGGAAGTGACTATGATGCAGGAAGATCAGCACCATCATCTACATGTGATTGCAGGAGCAGGTAATTAGGCAATTACCAAGTGCTTCATACTGTGTTGTACTTGGTAACTTAATGAATTGCTTTCTTCTCTTCCGGTATTCCCATGCTCTTGCGTATAGCCCTTGACAACTAAAGTACTATCCGCAGAATCATTTAACTGCTGGCAAAAAAAAAAAAAACAAAAAAATGAAAGTGCTTAATTAGCTCATTTGGATCATTACTTCATGACGTAAGCATGCTATGCTTTTTCATTTTTTATGTGATATGCACTTTTTCATTAAAACTTATCACTTCTCTCTCTTTCGTATTGCAAATTTTATGGGTTTGTCATAACCTAGAGGTTAATTGCATTTGTAAGTTGAAGATTGGTGCTTGTATTCTTCTCTGCTTGATCTATTGATGCTCTCATACAGGCGCCAGTTTGATATATTTAAGTATTTAACCCTTCTGTCTTAGTTCACTGCTTATTCATGAAGATGAATGTTTGTAGGAGGAGGCTCTTAAATTATTGGAAAGAGTTTTGCGCTTGTTATGCCGGTAATGTTGGTGAAATGAGTTTAAATTCTTGGCATGAGTTTTAAGCTACTCACTCAAGTGATAATGGTCATGACGACGATGACGACATTATTTTTTTCCATGATGAAGTCTGCAGGTAAACTTCCTCTGAACTTACATTGTTTAATGTATTGTTCGCAAGGGAAAAAAAAAAAAACCCAATGTACTATTTGGAAAACACTCCCCGTTCTTTTACTATTTGATTTGTTCTTGAATTTAAGGAAAAAGGTTATTGATTCCTTAAATTGCAGCCGTGGCTACGGAGAAGAGACGGTAATTTGGACCAACGTTGACAGGCCAGCCCAAATCCACCCAAAAGTAGTTGGGACCGGGTTTAGCTATATGAACTTTTTTAAAAAAGTATGATTCTTTAAATTCGATCTGAATAAAATCGACTCGAATTGAGCCCGACTATTACAATTTTTGACTTTATATGTATGTAAAATAGATAATTTTAATCAAGCTCAATAGGCTAATCTGAACCCGTCCAAAAAAAAGTTAAGGTCGGATTTGACTATATAGGCTTTTTAAGAGAATAGGATATTTCAAGCTCGATTCGAATAAGTCAGACCAAAATTGAACTCGACTCAAATAAGTTTGATTTACTCGAATGATCAGCTCTATGGAGAATGATGAGGAGGATATCAAACACCTATTGTTGCATTTCCTTCTTCCTCAAAGCACAAAATTCAGGTACACTAAAATAAATTATATTTAAAAATTTTATTTTCTATGTTTTTTTATTTTTCAAACGAGATTAAAATCCTGTGTGAAAGGAACAAATCTCTCGTTATGATTATAATTGCATTTTATCAGGTAGAAAATTATGACATGGAGTGCCTGTGGGGGAGATGTTAGAGATGTTGAAGGCAAATGGATTATGGGGCTTCTATCTCATTTGAACCATATCCTAAAGGCTAAAGGGATAACTAAGGGACTGGAGCTATGTTGGGATCTTGGTTGCAGACAAGTAGAAGTGAGCTGGGATTGCAAAGACAGCATCAACAGTCATCCGTTTCAGGAAGTTATTTTGGAAGCTAGGGAGTTAATCTAGAGAGATTGGTTTCTTATTTTTAATTTTACTTTTGGAGAGGCTAATGAAATTATGAATATTTTAGTGAGTTCTTCTCATGATTCAAAGTACCCATTTTGGGTTTTTGATCGATCATCTTCCACCTTGTTGCTGGAAGGTGGTGCATGATGAAATAGTGACTAGAGTTGCTTGAGATGTGGTTACTTCTTGTTATATACCTCTTTGTTAGTTATTAGATAATATATATACATGTTTATTCACAAAAAAAAAAAAAAAGAGAAGAAATTTATGATATGCATGTTGAATCACTTGTATAGTATTAGTTTTATTCAATGACTAATGCAAATCATTGGAGGGTTGTAAATTGTTGATCCTAGCATCGAAGTTCTTCATAACTAAATTCTCAGCATGGTAGTTTAAAATAAAATCTGGTTATTCAAACAATTTCACCTCAACCATCACCATGCAAGAAGGATTAATTGACCTGCATTCCCTTCCGTCATAAAGGAGCTATCAAGTAAATCCTCAAGCAATTTATGCTGCCCAAGATGTAATAGTTGTGGGGGGGAAATATTCAATGAATTGAAAGAAGCCTAAAAAGACCACAAAAAAAAAAAGTCCTCTTACTTCACCCAAGTTTTTTGGGCCAATATTTTCGCCCCAAGCTTAATAAACCTGCAGGGCTATAAAATCATTAACATATCATTACATGACAAATTGAAAATCTCCCTGTTATCAAGAGGTTGAAACAATATGAAGAGGGATATTTAATCAGAATAATAGGAAAAAGTGAATGCAAGTAAATAAAACAAGAGATAATGTAATGTTTTGTCTCTCAAATTTATTTTAGTTATTAATTTAGTCATTTAAGTTTAATTTTTATCGATTTAATTTCTTAAATTTATTTTGATTATCAATTTGGTCTTTGTTATTTAAAAAGGGGGTAACATTGATAGAATTTATTGGCATGATAACAAAATATTGATAATAATAATGTAGAGTAATTAAAAAATTAAGGATCATTTTTACTCTTTAATTTTACTTGAAAGGTCACAAAAAACTCAACTTATATCGCTCAATGTTAAAGATTCTCCCTTTTATCACTTTGACATTAAAAACACTTAATGTTCATTAGTCATTAGTGGTTCTCACTATTTTTTAATATTTTTTTATTAGGTTAATGATTAATTTTGTCCATCAACTTTTATTTAAAAGGTTAGTAGGCACCCTCAACTTAAATATTTTATAATAAAAAATATTAAAAAATGTAATGTTGAAAAAGAAAGGAAAGCAAACCAGTTTCAGAGCTCATTATATAGATAAGCACCGAAACTCAACGTCCCTGCATCTTTTAGATCTAATTTTCATAGTTCATATTTACAATTTTTTAACAGATATTTATTAAATAATTTTTTTTGAAAAATAATCATTAAGAGATTGTCTTTATTTCAGATTCTATATCCATTAAAATATTTTTAAAAAAAAGTAAAAGTAAAAAACTATAAATATGGACCATCCATATTAAATCTGAATAATTTGGAGGTGATAAGCTCTCAATGCTTATTATTATCTTTGTGATGAGTACTGAAACTGGTTTTGAAAGAAAAGAACATCACAAATATATGAAAAGATTAAGAAAATTTTCTTATCATTTTTCTGTGATTTATGTCCTTATTTGTAATTTTTAGATCACTTCTTATAACTTTTTTAGTTCATTTTTATCATTTTTTAATTAACTAATAATTAAAACTAACGTTACAATGCAACTTTTTTAAAAATTTATGAGAAATATAATATAAAAATGAGTTTGGAATTGCACGTGCTCGAATTGCTAGATAGTCGCACGTGGCATGTTGTCAGAGGCGTTTAAAGGTGTTTAGATCATTTCCATACGTACGAAAAATGGCTTTACAAACTTTATATTTTATATTTATTGATTTTATTTTTATTATTTTTGATAGAAAAATGAAGGTTAGTTTTTTTAATTAATGGTAAATGAATAAATTAATTTCTAAATTATAAATCTAGAAATATTTAAAATCCTAAACTCATTTTTTATGCAATATTTCATTTTAATTTTTAAAAATGATACAATCTAATCTTTGTTGTTAATAAAAATTAATCTTGATCATTAGTTGATAAGAAAATAATAAAATATAATTATAAAAATTTTAAAAAAAATTAAAATTAAAGACAAAAACTCAAAAATTACCCTTTTGTATTAAATATTTCTAAAACACTAAATAAATACGTTTAAAAAATGAAAAAAATAAAATATTTATTAAAAAATTAATATACAAATATATTTGCTTTAATTTTTTGGATAATTTGAATACTTTTTGGGAAATATTTATATTTAAAAAGGAAGTATTTTTGTCCAATATATATAATTTAATAGTCAAATACATATGATTAGATAGATGAAAATAAAATTTTAAAAATAAAAAAAATGTTTGTGTTTTGTATTCATATAAAAGATGTTTGTATGATTTTTAAAAACAAAATAAAGTATGTGTAATTAAAATGATATGAAGAAGATTTCAGAATATTTTACTCTAAAATTAAAAGGGCATAAACTTGAGCCTTTCTGCTTTTTAACCAAACGAATAAATACCGATGTGTAGGTTCATGTGAGTCAGCTCCACCCTTGAGATAAGACACGTGTGGAACGCTGGCGACGATGAAGATGGGGCCTTCTACTTCCGTCTTATTTATCGAATGTGGTTTGCACTTTCTCTGGCCAAAAGAAGAATGTGGTTTACACTTTACACTTGTTAGTTAAAAAACAGAGAATGACATATTGTGACCTGTGCCAATTTTTCTTAAATTAATGGGTAAAATTGAAAGATTAATTTATGTTTTTTATTTGATACCTTATAATTTTGATCACTTTTTATTTTGGACTAAAAAGCAAAATTATATGTTCAAATTTATCTAAAATTTTAAACTCATCTTTTATATAATATTTTTGATCAACATTGAAAAGTGAAAAAATGTATCACTTACCATAAACAAAAATACTTTAACCGTTAGTTTATTAAAAAAATGATAAAAAAATTTAAAAATCATGTAATTTGAGAGGTTCTTTGTTCTTGTTTGTAATTTTTGGATTCTCTTATTTAATTTTTTTATATTTTATATTATTTTCTAGTTAACAAGTCATTAAAGTTAATATTTATTAAAAGCAGTAGTTATATTATATTATTTTTAAAAGTTGAGGGAGAATATTATATGAAAAAAATAAATTTATGGGCCACAATGATAAATGAAAAATGGTAAAGTAGCAAATTTGGCCACAAATTATTTTTTAAGGAGCATCTAAACTATCAAATAGTGTAAAATAAATCACGAATTTTTAAAAAATGAAACATTAGTAGCTCGCCGTAACTTCAGCTAACGGAAGTTATATGAAACCCACAATGACACGTAGCACAACATGAGCACAACACATCAGCATCGTAAAGGTGCAAATTCAACCACAAATTATTTTCTGATGAGCACTAGGCAGCCTCTACCATAAAAAAATGAATCATCTAAAACCTTTTCCTCAATTTTGGCCAAATATTGTTTATTTTTATACTTACAAGGCCCATAAAATATTAATCTCTCCAATCTCCTTGCCTTTATTCTCAATATCAACTCTAAAAGAAGAGATTTGATGAGTTTTTATCTAAAGACATTCATAAAGATGATGCCAATGAAGTATAAGCTTAATTTTACTATGTCTGAGAGAAGCTTGATTCTAGCTTAGTTTAATCACAAATTATATCTCCTACTTCGTTAGTGTCGTCTTCATGAATGTCTTCAGATAAGAACTTTTTAAACCTCTTCTTCTTAAGCTAAGATTGAGAGCGAAAGCAAGAAGATTGGAGAGGTTAATCCTTTATGGACCTCGTAAATATGAAAATAAGCAGTGTTTGGTCAAAATTGAGGGGAAGGTATTGGATGGTCCCTTTGTTTTATAGTATAAGCCACCCAGTTGTCACGGGCTGAGAGTCTGGCGTAGCACACGACGCCCGTGCATCGTCTTGGAGGACCCCATACTCCTCAAGACAAGCCTTACCACATACGAATCACACTGGTTTCGCCCTGCCATGGGCTCATCAGGGAGGCGGCACTAGCCCCCGACCAGTTGTGCACTTAGCCCGAAAACTAAGGCAGAACGCACCAATGCCAATGTCGCCTCCTTTACCCATATTGTGCGAGGCTAACCAGCGGATTGTTTATTATCTTGGTCTTTACACGGTCACGGAGATATCATCCGTGACACAATGATCCTTAAAAAATAGTTTGTGATTAAATTTGCATCTTTACCATGCTAATGTGTCATGCACGTGTCGTGCCACGTGTCATTGTGGGCCCCACATAATATTCGTAAGTTGAAGTTAACAGCGGGGTGCTAGATACTCCATTTTTAAAAGTTTAAAATTTATTTTACACTATCTAATAATTTAAGTTATCAGATGATTCTCGAAAATTAGTTTGTAGCTTTTGCTACTTTACCCAATTAAAAAAGTGTGTGCATGAATCATCAACTCCTGTCCAGTTCCTAGATAGCTGTATGTGATAACATAATGTCAGAGATGTTTAAATCATTTCCTTATGTATTATTTTGTTTTTATTATTTTGGTATCAAAATAAGGTTAGTTGTTTTTTTAATTAATAAAGTTAGATAAGTCTCACAACTTAAGAAAAAAAGGTGACTATGCAAAAACACATATTACTAACAAAAATTGGTCAAAATGATAAGAATATAGATATAATTTATAATGTCATGGGTTTAGATCTTAATAGCGATATGAAAATTTTGTTAGGAGATAATCTATAAATAATTTTATAAACGCATTTTAAATTTAGAGGTAAATCGTGGTCTTAGCGGATTATATAGACCTAACTAACGTAAACTTTCAAAGAGAAAGGAAAAAAACACGCTACATAATTGTTATCAATTTTTTTAACACTTTTCAAATACACAATTTTATATGCAAGTTTTTCGGTCGTGCGTATGTACAAGTGGATTCCCTTAAAGTATATTTGATTTTTTTTAATT